TTTAAACGTCGTGTAGAAGAAATTACTGGATTTTTTCTTATAAGAGAAATTACTGAAAAATTAATATATACAATGGTGCAAAGGCTCTGACAAGCAAGTTAAACGTCATTATAAATCATTAATCCAACAATAAAAGGAAGGAGCATATCATGCATGTAACATATACAGTTCATCTTATTCCTTATTGATGAACTTTTATTAGCTTTGGTAATTAGTTAGCTATATATACAACTTTCTTTTAGGTGAGTTTCTCAACATTAATTCCCATAAACTAATAATTGTTTTGTCCTTGACGTGGCTGAAACAGGAAGAAGGATGGGTTGTGTGTAGAGTATTCAAGAAGAGGGTAACAACCATGCGTAAAGCGAGTGAACACGACTCTCCCTGTTGGTATGAAGATCAAGTCTCTTTCATGCAAGACTTGGACTCACCAAAGCAAACCTCTCAATCTAGTTTGGTATACCAGATACCATATCCTTGCAAGAAAGAGCTAGATTTTCCATACCAGTTACCTCGTGACCACTTTCTCCAGCTTCCACTTTTAGAGAGCCCAAAACTGCTTCAATCCTCTTCTACCATGAACCCTAATGCCGTGGCACCATATGTTATAGATCATGCAAACCACTCTACTATGCTTCCCTCATCACTCATTCAAGAAGAACAAGTTGGTCACCAAAACTTCCAGTATGGCAACAACAATTCCAATGAACAAGTAGCAGTGGATCAAGTGACTGATTGGCGAGTGCTTGACAAGTTCGTTGCTTCACAACTTAGTCATGATGCATCCAAAGACAATATTATCTTTCAAGGCACGGACAATGGCAACGTTGTACAGTTCAGACATTTGGACAAACAAGAAATTATAATGGTGCCTGAAGAAAATGCCCCAATATCAAACTCCACCTGTCCAATTGATTTGTGGAAATAGTGCCATGCCATCTTATAAATTGGGTTTTGGGTACATACTAATTAATAGGGTACTTAGCTAAAACATCACTTGCAAGTACTGTTTAAGTGCCTGTACATAATAAACGTAATGGGCAAAACTTTAACTATTGTGGAGCTTCTGGCTCCACTACTACTTCTATCTAGCTTCTAGCATATTCAATTATAAAAACTTAATGGAAGGGTCAAGTAGTTATAGTAAAAAGTCATCTATGTTTCCCTGAAGATGGAAAGCTTTGCAGGGTTAATATATAGTTGAATTGTTCACTACGCATGCATGATGAGCTCTACTATGTAAGCCAAGGGCCAAGGTCCAACAGCCACATCCGCTGTTTTTTCATTGGATTGACCGGGTGGTCGATATACACATATGTATGTCTCTATGTTACAATTTAATGAAATAGTTATAGAATAAATTGTTCTTTTTTACTTTCTGCAGTTTCTTAACTTTGAACATCTGTTTAAAAAGTCATTGTTTTCTTAACAAAATTATATTTATAAATCAAAATTATACAACTTCTTTCACAAATAAAAGGAAGCAAGAAGAGAAGAGAGAGAAGTAAGACATAACATAAGATAGGTAATGTGAATTATGTGACATATTTAGAGGGACAGAGAAAGAGAAGAGAGTGTTATATAAGTTGTATGCTTTTTTTAAGAAAATATTATATCTCTTTTAATGAATTAGTGTATGGTTTTTGTGTCTATGTAACGGAGAATAAATACTTAATTTTGTAACTTTTTTGCCTTTTGCTAATAACTATAACTTTATAGTAAAAAAGGAAATTAAAATGTATGATCTTGATAAATATTTGTTTACTTGTTTTAATCCTACTAGCCTAGCCTTATAGTCATATGTTCTCTTTCCGTGGAAACAAAGATTAAAAATACAATGATTCGTGATGGTCCAATATCAAGCGTCAGTCTTAAATACTAAGACAAATCAAGGGTTAATTAAGGTTTACTTATTCTCAAAAGTTAAAAGTCAAATTCAAGTATCCATTTACCCCACACCTCGGCCTGATCTTGATTAGGCTTGTGTGATAATATTTGATGATGATGAAAAAAAATAAAAATAAAAAAGCAGTTCACAAACACAAGACAACAGATGGTACCACGTACTGCCACATATTCTTTGCTCCTAAGTCTCGCAATATATACCCCGCATATGCATTGAAATCTATCTGAAGTTTAGAAGGCAAGCAAAAGATATACCTAGCCTAGATTTGAAATTGGGATACAATGAGTAAACTCTTTATTTAGTTATTCCAAGTGGCGCCAAATCATGCAATCAAATGATTATAGCCATGATAGGGATCACAAGTGCCATATCAAATACGTAACTTCAACGCCTTGTAGAAGACTCAAACTGTTTTTAAACAAATGCCAATATGGGATAGCACTATACTAATAATAGCAATGAACCACGAAGTGTAATGATATAGCGTAGGTTAAGTAATATATAGAATAAATGGATGGCATATATATGATGAGGCTAATTAACTTTGCATATTAATCAAAGTGTGGATTGAGAAACAAGTAGTTTGAAGTTCGATCGATAAGTGTAACTGTATTTTCAAAAATAACAAGACGAAATGTGTATTTTCTTATATATTTTCCAAAAAGAAATATGGTTATATTTTTGCTTCGGAAAAAGGTATCAATCTTATATTTGGGTCAGCAAAATTTGTTAAATAATTACCTGCGACTGAATTAGACATCTGTCGTCTAGCAATAGTAAGGGTAGCAAAGAAAGTTGCTACTCTTCCACTTGTGTGCTATAAACAGAAAAAAAATGTAGAGAATTGCATTGCATCACAATCTTACTAAGCATAAAAAAAACTAAAGAATAGCTCCTCTTCACAGCAAATTCATGTGTAAGTTTTGGATGAAAGAATGCGATGCAACAGAGTAAGTAATACTGTGCTCACGAGAGAAAGAAGAAGAAAAAGAAAGTGTGGCACAATTTTAAAACTGATAAACGGGTAGCTATATATGAATGCCATAAAAACAACACACAGAGAAGCATGAAACCAATGCTTTGTTTTTCTTCTGTGGAACTTAGAAATAATTCTGATAGTGGTATACCTACCTACCACCTAGAACTAAATATTGGCATAGTGGTGAAAAATATAAGAACTAGTCTACTGAGCTTGATATAGCAACCTATGGTGGGTTTAATATATACGCAAGAGAAGAAGCACACCGGAACCTAATGGGAACTATGCAAAGGTGGTGAGAATGTTAGACTATTATTCATTACTTAAATATATATAGTTATATACATATACATGGCAATGACATTTATTTCTTGTGAAGTGAAGCTTGATTGATGTTCTACTCTTCTTCTCTTTTAAGCAATTATGTTCCCAGACGACACACTCATTAACCATGTTCCAGGTGGAAGGAGATAAAGATGCACAAAAATGGAGGCAGTGATTAAGTTGTGGATTCCAAGGTAGTAAAAGAAGTTCAAAGTGAAAGGTATTTTCTGACTTAGCCTTTCGCGTGTGCATTTCCTTTGTTATTAAGTTGTGACAGAAAGAGAAAGCATGTGCATGCGTTTAAAACCAACGGCATGCCATAGCAATAACATAGGGCGCACAAGACTGAATGAATAATTAGAGTTTTAGAGTGTCACATATTTTTTTAGTAGTATATGTTATTCGTAATGGATGGAATGATATAAAGCATGCATCATTCGTTCACACACAGGAACGTCTCCATGTGAATGCTATTATGTTCTCCCATCCACTACATACACAAATGTAATTTGTGTCCCACCATCACCATGCATGCATAAATGTAAAAGCAACGACCACTCCGCATGGTATATGTATAGTGTTTCATAGTAAATATTACCAAATTTCTACGAGGAAGATGTGTAAAGTCATTAGGAATGTTTACTTAAAGCGTAAAATTATATGAGTTGTCACATTAATTTCGAACTGCATTATTAATAAATGTGAAATTGCGATTAATAGCATCCGTTTTGTATTTTTCATCCGACAAATACAATACATGATGTTGGAGCTTTGGACTTTCTCATGATTAATTTCCTGTAGAGTATATTGCCAATGGTCAATTCAATTCTGGTTGTTACCTTATTTTTTATATGGTTCTCTATAAGCCATCGTCTATTGTTAAAAAAAGTGTTTACCTGCCTAGAAAAACAAGAACGTACATAATTAAAAAACAATGTTTTAGTTCTTAAAAAAGAAAAAAAAAAGTTGTTTACTTACAAATTAAGCACAACATTGAATTAAATTATAATACACAATAATAGTGTAGCTGTATAACATTCTTATTCAATTATATATTGTCATATAATTATAAATTGTTTTAATAATAATTAAGTAATTAATCTAAAAGATAATTAAGAAAAGTCTGATTAACTATTAGTGTAAAAAAATTATAATCAAAGTGCTATTAAAATTAAACTCTTTAAAAATTGGGATAGATTTTTTTTTCTTTCGTAAGTTTCTTCAACTCGCAAATACTCGTGATGATATGAAATAATTTTTCCTATTTGGAGTTTAATACTAAATATAAAAAGAAATGATATAGTTTCCATTTCTTTCTCATGTATTGTTCCATTATTATAATCAACAATTTTAAGCTTTAAAACTTCAAAAAAAATCGATTTTTAGTCTTAGGTTATGGTTTTTAATTTTTACATCATAATATGATATCTTAAATTCAAAATTTTAAATATGAATCACTAGTACCTCTGTTCCTTTACTAGCTAATTTTAATTTATGTAATATTAAAGTTTATTCTAGCTAATTTTAGTAGTGAGTCATCCATGTATTGTACTTTATTTTCTAGTAGTTCAGAATTCTCAATAGTGTGATAGGAGATTAATTATTTCGTAAATTAACAAACATATACTTTTAACGTACAAACCGTCGCGGGGGAAAAATAATACACGAATTAAGTTTCTATTTAATTATTTGTTAAAAAATGTGTAAATAAATGATGAATATTTATATCCGACATAATCATATTTGTAATATCAATTTCATCACTTCTAATTTATTTCTTAAGGTTTACACATTCATTATTTTGTCAGTTTTTCACTAGACACCGATATCCTGCAACAATCAGCTGGCATTGTACTTCTCTATTATTTTGAAATCCTTTTCCCCATTCAAAAGTAAGGCAGAAATTTGTCAAAATCCACATGCGATCTAAGTCAAATCCATAAATGAGAAGTAATAATACAAACGTTAATAGATAAATGTGAAAATGGATTTTTTTTTAAAATAGTGTAATTTATCAATAAACTAATGGGCATAGTTATGATAAAAGAATTATATTATTCTTACTATAGTTTTATAATATTTTTATTTCATTTTTTATGTTCTTTTTATCATATCATTTATACACATTTCGCATCCAATTTAGTAGTAAGCGATAAGTGTCAATTTTATGTAAGTAACTTAATTAATTCTTTTGATATTTATTTAATTAATATTGAAAGAAATTTGTATTTTATTCTTAAATTATTACAAAATTTAAAAGAGTGCGTAAATTAGTTAGTTTATAAAAAGTTGATGAAAATTTTTACTTAAATTTTTGTTTTATATCTTACAAGATTCAATAAAAATCTAAAATCTAAAAAAACTTCAATCCACTTAAGTGTTTGGAAAAGGGTTGCACTTTTTAAAAAGGATTAAGTCATTTCAAAAGAACTGAGTCTTTTAAAGACAAAGAGCAAGATTTTAAGTAGAGACCAAATTGATTAGCTATTTAGAAAGGGCTTAGTGAATTAGCTCTAAATGGATGCAAATATTTTGCTTACTAGAAACTCAATGGATTCAAAAGGATTCGGCCATTGAAATTTCTTCACCATGAAGAATCATTCAAACCGCTCAACCGTTTAAAAATGGTTGAGCAATTTACCGCAGATAAGGACTTTTATTTTATTGCACCTATATAAGGACTTTGAGGCAAAAATAGAGAGAAATTACCACAGAGACTTGTGCAAAAAATAAAAAAGCAAGAAAAGAGTTTAAGAATTAGTTAGGAACGGGGGGTTCTAGGATATTTTTGATGAGTAGTTGATTTTTAATTTTTGTTGGGGTTTAATGTAATTCATCAGGCTCTCGTGTACTCCTTTTGATTATATATGTGTGTATGTGATTTAATATTATTCATTATTAGTGATTTTGATTTCATTCTTAATGTTAAGGTGACTTGATCACTCATATTTGATTTTTAATTGGAATTTTGATTAAAAAACATTTTTTGAATCTTATTTTGAATCAAATCACCTAATAACTCTAAATACTAGGAATAGATTTGGAGTTGTTAGTTGAATAAGTTCTCAAACTTAATGCAAGATTTTTAACTAGATGAAGGAAAGAATCGTTTGTTAAGTTAGACTACTTAGAATTTTTAAATGCAAGAAATTGATTTGAAATGATATTAATGAACTCAACAACATTAGATGATAAAAATTATATGTATGTAGTCTTAGTAGAACATAAGGGTGAGATAGGAAAAATTCAATTCCAACAACTTTACATACTGTTATCTTTCAATTTTACTACTTTGTTTGATATCTTTTCATAATTTCAATATTGAAATATGAACATCATATTTATAAGATTTGTAAATCTTTCTATTTCAAGCTTTTATTAGGATAATAAAAATTACTAGTATCTTCCAAATAAATCTCTAAGATTTGACAACCCATACTCATTTTTTATACTATAGTAATGCAGTGCACATGTCTCAAAATCTCATCAATAAGATATATAAAAATTTGTAATTTTCATCCGATAACAAAAGAGAGTACGTAAAATCTATCATATTCTCCATTAAATATTTAAATTCAACAAGCTATTTTTTAAAGATATTTTCTATTAGGTGTTCTTAAACACATGATAAATATCATAAGTAAAAAAAAAATCTATTGAAAAATATTTAGTATATTAAAATATAAAAATCATTTAACACTTTTTTTAAGTATTATTATAAAACATTTGTAAAATATATTTAATACTTTTCATATTATTTACTTATAGTTATCATCAGTGACAAACTTATATTATAGTGATTGGATAGATGTACTCTCTCACTTTAATTAAATTATTAGTATATGTTACGATACAAGCAAATTCCTACATCATTTAAAGATGATGGACATGGATTTATATATACACAATTATCTCCATTTGATAAAAAGACCTTTTGGATAATATCCAAAAACAAAACTGTGAAGACTGGGCACAATAAATGGTATTAGAGCCGATGGCTTTTCCTAAAAAAGGACGCAACAATTATATTTTGCTCTCCTATTTTTATACATTGAACTCACGGATGGTTATTTTTTATATTAATATTTTGTTATTTATATATATGATAATTATAACTATAATTATAATTATTAATTTTTATCTTTCAAAAAGAATTACCTCCAATAAGTTAAGGTCTTGGAACGGCCACTAGTTATAACCCACAATTATACAGTTGTTTAAAAAAGAACATGATGTTTCTCCCCATTCTTTCATTTTCTTCGGGTCAAAGACTATGTAAAAGATATATAAAAAGCAATGATTTACATAAAATTCTGTGTTAAAAGTTTAGTTGCAGCAATGATAGTGTTAGCCATCTAATGCGCAAGGAAGGCCGTTCAGAAAAAAAAGGTTCATGGACTTCCACTCAGGAGACAATCATGTCCCTAAACCATAAGTGGCTTACGTATTGTTTGTTGAATAAGATTGAAGTTTCCCCCACTATTTTTTTCTTTTGTGAGGAGTATAAGATTTAAGATTAATAAAATGTAAAATAAATTTTTTAAATTAGTAAAATAATAAATTAAAATGCATGTGGTATAAGTAGAGCAACTCCTATGTTAGAATGCTTAATGCCTAGATGTTTTTATTTTATATAGGTCCTTGATTTCAATGTTCATTACAAAACTTGCAATAGAATTTATTATTAAATTTTCAATTTTCATAAGGTTCTAAACTTATTATTATTATTATTATTATTATTATTATGTTAATGGACTATCTTAACAAGTAGAGACATTAGGAGACAATTGTCTATTAGAATTTAGATCCATGACAATGAGCTCGTCTTTTTTTTTTTTGTGAGTGTTGGGCCATCAGAGATGAGATAAATTAATATGGCTAATCTATTTTTTATTTTATTTAATTAATTTAATTTGATATTTTATTATTAAAATATTTGAGTTAGTATCTTAATTTAAAATAATACACTATTTCCATTTTAGTCTAATCTAAATTAACGACATTAATTTTTGTGTACTTGACACAATAAAAAAAAAAAATAATAACACATGTCACCATGTTTAAAAGGAAAAAAAAATAGTCTAAATTAGAGGGAAAAGCAACTTAATTTGCATAATTTTAAAAATTAAGAATCAAAATTAACATTTGAATAATAAAGATACCAAAATAATCAATTAAATAAAAATAAGAAATTAAAGAATAATTTAATCAATTAATATTCACTATAACAAAATAAATTTTTAGTGCCATTTAATATGGTTTTTAGTGATAATAAAAATTGCTACAAAATCTTTTAGCAGCATTTCCACAATAGTCATTGTATGCAGTATCGCTAAAATATTTAGCGACAATTATTCTGAATGCTGGTAAAAATTCTTATAATGGTCGGAAAAAATGTATAACTCTTTGTGATTTTTTTACTTTCTACTCGATGCGGGACTTGTAAGATGAAGATTATCTTTTACTTATATATTTTTTAATTTTCTTATCTCCTAATTAATTATTTTATCAACTTAGAATAGTAAGTTATAGGTCTAACTTAACCTTACAAAACAATCTTGTAAGGTGAGAGTGATCATCTATTTATATACTCTTTAATTATCTTATTTCTAGTCGATATGAGATTTAAGTTTTTCCAAATAAATAATTATCGCTAATAGTAAATTTTAGTATAATATAAATATATTTTTAGTGATCATTATATATTAATTATTAATATTTTTATTAAATAATAAAATAAAGATAATTAATTTATTACCACTAAATAATTGTCGATAATAATAAAATATTATTGTAATGATTTATTTTTTCCCAAAATGATGGATGAAATCAATGATTGAGTAATATAGGTTTAAAATTGTTACAAATTCTTCTACTATTTTGTGTTTACCTCACGACTACTAAACACCATAAAAATATTCGTGGTGGAAAAAAATATTATAAAAATATATTATATGCTGTGTATAATATCGTTGTCACGAGTCATTGGTAGTGACAAAATATTTTACACTACTATTATTAATGACGTGAAAAGAAAAAAAATCACAAGTCAAAAACCACATTTTTTCTAACTTTTACATTATAATTAAATAGTATCATAACAGCACATTATTAATGTTACAAATTATTGCAAAGTTTGCACACCATGAAATTTGGTAATAGTAACCAAAGAACTATGTTCATCCATCCATATTACAGTATTTATTCTTATGCATCACAACATATTCATTTATTAACTAAATCATGTATAAACACAACGTTGAAGTAACAACTCAGTTAATAGAGTCGAAAAACCTCATCTTGTATAATTAGCGGGTATGGAGTGTCAGTAGCATATGGAGCAACATTATAAACTACAGTATTCTCCACAATCTGTAAAATGCAATGGTATATTAAAAAAAATAATCAGACCAACATATAACATTACAATATGCTTTTAAAGAAAATACCTACTTAATAAATAGAAACCACTTATTACCTTATCCTGCAGATATTTATTTGCCGCTTTAAGAGTTCCCTCCTTGAATGCAAAAAAAAAAAGGTAACAAGTTTATTTAATCATTAATATTATATAAAAATAATAAGAAGAAGAATTACACATGCACAAAAGAAAACATACACAGACCAAGGTTTATTTTGTAATGCAAACACATTTCTTTAATTAGTTATGTGTTTAGGTATTTCAAAAACTTAAAGTTCCGCTTGATTTTATGTTTTTAAGCCTTTATGAACCAATTGTGTTTTGATTTTCATCGGGAACAGAAAAAAATAAATTAATCATGTTACCATAAATTTTGGTCCTCGTCATTACATTACTAAAGGATTAAAATTTGCTAGTGGATATTATTCTACAATTAATGTTAAAGAACGAGTTATTTGGCTTTATCGTGAGTGGTAATTTGTTTGTCCTAAATTCCAACTTAATCTTATACATAAACTTTGAGTAGAAGAAACCGCCAGACTATATTTCATATAATTCTCTTTCGGTCCTTTATATAAAAAAATAAATAATTTATTTATTAAAAATAATAAAAATAATTAAGATGGGTACTTATTGTTATTAATATCATGAAATTAAATTTCTATTTAAAAATAAATTTTGAATTGATTGGCTTAAATAAAAATATCATTAAATGACACTACATTTAATTTAAGAGTTTTTTCACTGTAACTTATATATTGTTTTTGATAAAAGTATAATTTATATGGTTAATATATCAATAAATGTATTAACTCGCATGAGAGTGTAAAAGAAAATTTTTAATTTATACATCTTAAAATAGGTATTTATTTTTTATCCATTCCTATACATAAAAACAATTCTATATTTTGTATGCACAATTTTTAAACTGTTTTACGTTTAAATTTTTGAATTATTTTATCTTTAAATTTTTAAATAATAAAAAATGATAAATTAATTATTTTTATAAATTCAAGAGTTGAATTTAAGATTTTGAAGTTTAAAAATTAAATACAATATCATTGATTTAATAAATATTAATAATTTTTAAACACTTTTAAATAAATATAAAAATATGAAAGGTTAAATACGTTTTTTCGTCCCTGATAACAATTTTTTTTTTTAATTTAGTCTCACTTTAATTTTAGGTCTCAATTTGGTCCCCAATAATTTAAATCATTGCAATTTGGGACTTCCGTCCAAATGATTTAAACGGGGTTAACTCTGACGTGGATGTCAAGTGGATGCCACGTAAATACATAGGTGGATGTCAAATGGCATGAATACACCTGGAACTAGAACGGACCGTTTTAAAACCAGAATGGTCCGTTCTGCATGCACAGGTTATGTGTTAATTTTGCAAATGGAACGGGCCGTTCCAAATGCAAATTTAACACAACATGAGTGCAAAAGAACGGGTCATTCTGAAACCAGAATGGGCCGTTCTAAAGGGTCGTTCTGCTGTTAGAACGGGCCGTTCTGAATTCAGCACGGGCCGTTCTGCTGTTAGAACAGGCCGTTCTGAATTCAGAACGGCCCGTTCCAGAACGCTAACTTCATGCTTTTATTGTAATTTTTTTATTATATCTATATTAATAAAAATGTAATAAACAAAATACAATAAATTAATATTCATTTATGAATAAAACTATAAAAAAAAATTAAATAAGATAAGACCTTCCAAAATCCTTCTTTGATTTGAACTTATCCAGTTCAAAATTTAATTTTGACTAAAATACCGCAATGTGATTCAAAATTTGAAAATAAAAATCCATAATATATCATAAATTCAAAGACAGAAACATAGTTCAGAAACTGAAAACAAAAATTCAGAACATAACATATACTAAAAAGTTCAAAGAAATTATTTCACTCTAGTTTGACTAACAATGAAATAAAACTTGTTACTATTGTCCTTAGTGATACACTGCATCATCCTTAATGATACTCTGTATAGTCAAAATGTTTAGCAATTGAAGTTATCAATCCTCATTAACAATATTACCAAATCTAGTGTTTGAAATGTTTTGTATAGTGATTTTTTTGTGCACGAAATTCTGGAACCAGAACGGCCCGTTCTGAAACCAGAACGGCCCGTTCTGGTTACACTGTTGATGTGTTAAATTTGTACATGGAACGGCCTGTTCCAGGTACAAAATTTACACACCAATAGTGTAACCAGAATGGGCCGTTCTAGTTTCAAAACGGGTCGTTCATGCTCCAGGTGTCTTTAACTATTTTGGGATCCACCTACGTGGCATCCACCTGGCATCCATGTGGTTACCAGTTAACTCCGTTTAAATCATTTAGACGGAAGTCCCAAATTGTAATGATTTAAATTATTGGGGACCAAATTGAGACCTAAAATTAAAGTAGGACTAAATTGAAACAAAAAATTGTTATCCGGACGAAAAAAGGTATTTAACCAAATATGAATTGTTTCGATCTCACCAATAATTACAAAAAATATACTCTTATTTCTTTCATTTCTTTTTTACATTTGATAGAGTATTTTATAAGTTTGAAGGACCTATTTATTAATATATATATATATATATATATATATATATTTGTA